TCTTGGAAAAAAAAAAGGGGGAAAAAAGGGGGAAGGGGAAAAGGAGGGATGTCTCAAAATTTTAAATAAATAGATGTAGAATGAATTATGCCTTTCCATGTGACCAATTTTAGTGCACACAGGGGTCTTTCTTCATTGTAAGTGGAAGGAAGGATGCATTTACCCGGGCAGTAAGTAGTAGTCTACATGACAAAAAGTTCAAGAACTTTACATCAGTACATTGTTGTCTTTTTTATTAAGTTTGATAAAACAAAACTATAATTATCAAATAAAGGAATCATGTATTGTGTGTACTCTTTTGAGTAAGAACTCTTTACATTAGGCCCACCTCTTAGTTCACAAAAAGAGGAGAAAGGAGGAAAAAAAGGCACCACAAAGGAAGAAGGATATAATATACTGTAGAATAGTTAAGGAAAGGGAAAAATTACTTCTCTTTTGGGTTTGTCTCATTCTCATTCTAATAGCTTTCTGCTTTTAGCTTACCCAGTGAAAGGTATCTTACTATCTTTTCTGCTGGCTCTGCTGCAGAGGTTGTTACCAGTCAATGCAGAAGGATAGTAACTTCTAAAAACTCTACAGCAATTCTTCCAGCAGTAATTTTAGCTCCACCAAGATAACATCAAAATAGTAATTGCTTGAATTTGGAACCTTTGTAATAAGCCATAATACATGGGTGAAAATACTTTTTTATATACTAAATATTCTTCTTTGGTAAATTGTTTGTGTGTTCTACATTAACTATTTCAACCTGTTATTTAAAATATATTTTGCATTAAGACTTGTCCAAATTCTGAAATTTTAGACAAAATGTATTTAACATTAAATACATTACCACATTTCTCATAAAACTAAATATATGTAAAAGTGGAATGTTTGCATAGTTTATATATATATTTGCGATTAGGATAAATTTTCCATTATTTACCTCACTGTTGAATTAGGAAGTCTTGGATCACTGTAATAGCTTCTGTGTGGATGGGATTATAAAACCAAATAATCTCTAAAAATAGTATTATTTCTGTGGAGGCAGCTGTTTGCCTTATAAGCTCAGCTTTATGATGGTACTCACTGGTGTTTGCAGTTGTGTTCCTATGAAATATGATGCTATTCTGATGGATAGGTGCAAGCAACAGAATTGTGGCTGTGTATTTTCAGACTCAGACTGGTTATAAAATAACTGAGCTACAGATATAAATGTCTCAGTATTACACATTGTGCTTCCATCATTTAAGATATGCTATTTCTGGTAGGATTACCGTATTATCTGTGCTTTGGAAAGAAGGGCGTGTACATATGCTATGAATTTGTGTATAAACAAAACGCATTTTCAATATATTCAGTTTCTTTTTTTTTTTTAGTAGCTAAGTTGCAAAATGATGTTTTATATTCCACATCCTTATTGCATTTTTATCATAAAGCATCATACAAAAATGTCCTTCAAAATTCCTTCTTTGTACAGATAGTTCTGTCCTTGTGAAGATGGGAGACAGTGATCACAGATGGCAGATGTTAACCGTATAGTTTAGTGCAGTAGTTGAAACTTTAGGTACAGTAGTGATAAAGACTATGAAATTTCCTCAATTGCATGATGTAGATTGTAATTTATTTTAGAGTTCTAAATTAGGAAAAACATACAGGAATGTCTTGAAAGTAAAATGGGTTTTTTGTTTTTTTCTATATTATTATTTTAGAGACATATTACTATGTATCTCCTTTGGTTGGTGCCTTTTTTTTGGCTCTGACTCCGATGGGGATTGTCATAGCTGCCAAACACCCAGCTACCAGAACTGTTCTCCATTCAGGATGGGAGCCTGTTATAACTGCCATGGTTATAAGCAGGTAAATCTATTTGTCTTGCTTTGTCTTGATAGTCACCCTGGGTCTCTACATATCTTATTTAACACCTGATTGTACTTAAAAGAAACATTTAAGGAGCCTCTAGAATGTAGAGTGTGAATAAACTTTAATCTTCCCAAAATGAGGAAGTTGCAAAGTTAAGTCACAGGTGGGAATGAGTGGGGGAGGCAGCAGTAGCCTATGGCAATGACTGAGCAGAAGTGTGCTGTATTAAATGAAGAAAATGGTGAGCTATTCATCTCCTGCAGTTTCCAATCAAAATTATACACTGATCTGAGAGATTATTTAAGTCAATGAAAGTTATGAATCTTAAAAGTGGAGTGATTGGCTGAAATTCTATGGTCTTTGTTATACAAGTAGTTGATTTTAATATGTAAATAACTATAGTGATGTCAGTCTGTAGCTGAGAACGCGGTCATGGGAATGAATTGAGAAGAAAATTGTGGCTTGAAGATGTTCAAAGACAGATAGACAGATTGCTAAAAAAGTTTTAAAATACTAATTAATGTACCTGCTTGCCTTATTCTAAATATTGTACTTTGTTTTTCAGTATTGGTGGCCTTATTCTGGACACAACGGTATCTGATCCTAACTTGGTTGGAATTGTTGTTTATACCCCAGTAATTAATGGTAAGACTCTGACAGGATTATGTGCTACTATATATCAATTGATATACCTTGGTTTGAGAAAAATCTATTACAATAAATTCCTATTATGCTAATTAGTATCTGCTATATTAATTTCAAGTTTTGATTTTGATGTCAACAGTTGTTTATTTGAACACCTAAGGAGCGCTTCCTGATCATATTTATTACAACCATTAAAACATGATAGAGAATGTGAGAAGTAGGAACCTAAAGTATGCATTAAGAAACAGAAAGTGTAAATATTGAAGTAATGTATTCAAATATTAAATGATCAAATATTATATTGAAAAGGTTGTGGCTGAGGAAAGTGTAGATAAAATTTTATTTCAAAGGATTTTCTTATGAACATCCAAGGACAAATTTTCAAAATAGTAGTTTACTATTTACGTGTAATGTATGTAGACATAAGAACTAACAGGGATGCTACAGGCAAGTAAATAGATTTCTCAAGAAAAACGTGTATTGTTTCCCATGCTTGGTATGCACTTTCCAGGTGTGTAAGAACGTACTTGTGAACATTTGGTCCTTAAGTTAAGTGTTCTATCATGTAACGATAACAACAAAGCAAATTTTTTAAGAACAGTTAATATCTTATTAGACTGATGCAGTTTGAAAATGCAAACTTTTGAGCTTTTTTTTTCCTACAGTATCACAGGGTTGATACATATTTAGTTTGCAATAATTATAATCACCAGATATGTTCCCACTGTATTGCTGCCTACCTGTTCTTTTCCCCTTTTGTATTTCTCCATTTTATTTCTTACATTATTTTGCGCTTTTATGTATTGTTGATTTTTAAACCATTTCTCCAATTATCAAGATGATTCTGACTTCTAATTTTTGGCTTTCAAACTGCTTTTGACTTAACTTGGCCTTTGCAAATTCCATATGGGTATATTCTATTCTGTTTTCTAAGCTATCAATTAAATTAATTACGACCACTTGTTTTCCACTTCGATAGTAAAATGTTAATATGGACACTGATTTTTAGTTTTGAACCATATTGCCCTGATACAATTAGTTTTCGAGAGGTTGCTAATGGAAATGTAGCATGGGATTGCACCAAAACATTTTGATAAACTTTACTACAGTTGAGAGTTAGTACATATATTGCTGCACCCTTAAGGCAAGCTGTTCAGTTACAGGAGGAAATTCTACTGTTTTGACAGAAGCATGTTCTTGGCAAATTCATGTTAGCTCTTGTTTTACGGCTTTCATATCTTCTAGAGCTTATAAATCGTCTTTTTAATAATTTGTTCTAATACTTATGTAGCAATATAAATTTCACTGATATACAGATTTCATGGATCATCCTTTCTGGCCCTTTTTAAAGAAATATTTTCTGTTTTCCCCATTACAGCCCTCTGGTATTCTCTAACCTCCAAGATAATCGGTTTGCAAAAATGATCACTGATAATTCATGGATTGTTCATGTAGCTCTCTAAAGATGCACTAAATTTAGTTTACCCTCAGGCCCTACAGACTTAATACATATGAGTTTGTGATCAGACATCACCATTTTTATGAAGGCAGTAGACAAAAGGAACTGAGCATTTCAATCTTCCATAGAGCATGTTGCTTGTTCTTCTTTCCCATTAAGGTCTTATATTTCCTTTCTTCTTACTTTTAATATGAAGCATTTCTGTGTTTGCACTTGTGTTCCTTGCTAACTGTAAATTTATTTTTACACTTCAGCCTTTATGCTTCCTTGCCTGTGCCTTACCTTTATATTCATTCAAAATTGCAAGTACTTGCATCTACCTTTTGTGTGTTTCCATTTTGATTTCCAGATACTAAAGAGCAGGGCAGACACGTTGATCTTCAACTTTTTTCTGCTTTACATCTGAAACTTTTCTTAATTATAGTCCTTTTTGGTAACCCCCTAGATTTGCTTCCTAAGAGAAGAGGATTGTTTTTTCTTTTCAGGCAGGAGTACCCCAACCAGTGGTCCTGCTTTCCTAGATGACATCCCTTGATTATAAAAGCCAACAACTGTCTGGTGATTGTTTCTTACTGTTTCCCCAAAGGCTTCTATCTCTGCTCCAGTACAGTACCAGAACACTTCTGGATTTTCTCTATAAACTCATTTATTCTTTACAGACTCACTTATTCTAGACTTGTACCTACAATGGATACAGGTCGCATGGATACATGCCTTTCTCAAGGCCTCACGCTCCTACCAGATGTTGCAGTGATGATGGTTTTTTACCCTGTAGTAGTTATGGACTGCTCTTGTAAGTGAACTATGCATACTGTTCAAGGTCATTTTCTTTCACAGAAATTGAGTGTGAAACCTGGGTTTGCCTGCGTGTTTACATTTTCCCTTTTTAACATTTTTAGCTGATGATTGGACTTAAGTAAATAATTTTAATTGGTAAGAATGACAGCTTACTATAAACATGCCTCTAGAGAAAAGGGTAAATGTATCACTTTATTTCTTATTTTCTTTCGTAAGTTTATGAACAGAATTAAGGCAACGTGCGTACATTCTTTTGAATGATCTTTAGAGAAAAAGAACTAGCCAAAAGCTATACATAGCCCTGGATGATTAGCTGACAGCTGACAAAAGATCCTTGAAGAATTAGGCAAGTGGAGAGAGGGAAAGCTGGAGCTATTAGAATCATAGAATCATTTAGGTTGGAAAAGACCTTTAAGATCATCAAGTCCAATCATAAACCTAACACTGCCAAGTCCACTACTAAACCATGTCCCCAAGCACCACAGCTACACATCTTTTAAATACCTCCAGGGATGGTGACTCAACGCCTTCCCTGGGCAGCCTGTTCCAATGCTTGACAACCCTTTCAGTGAAGAAATTTTTCCTAATACCTAATCTAAACCTCCCCTGGCACAACTTGAGGCCATTTCCTCTTGTCCTATCGCTTGTTACTTGGGAGAAGAGACCAACCCCCAACTCGCTACAACCTCCTTTCAGGTAGTTGTAGAAAGCGATAAGGTCTCCCCTGAGCCTTCTTTTCTCCAGTCTAAACAACCCCAGTTCCCTCAGCCGCTCCTCGTAAGACTTGTTCTCCAGACCTTTCACCAGCTTCGTTGCCCTTCTCTGGACACACTATTGGAGTAGGCAGGGAGAGAAAGAGTCCTTCAAGAAGGCAGGGACAGCAAGAGTCATGCTTGTAGCTGTGGCAGTCCCACAGTGGTCCTGCAGTGATGATTCCTGTGATGATTGTACCACCCCCATTCAAAATCTTGCTTTTTCATAAGAAGATTTGTATTTCCAGACTGTTCTTAGCCTTTGCCATCTGCCCCTGACTGCTACGCAATGCCTGAGAATGTTATTTTCCAAGCCACACCAGGTGCCTTACTCCATTGTTCATCTGGATTTTTCAGATAGCTCCCTTCTTTTCTTGTTATGCGTGAAGCAGTCTTTTCCCAGCTCTGAAAATTTAAACTTTTTCAATGACTAGTAATGGTCCATCAGCAAGTTGTTTATAGTCCTGTGTCCATATTTTCAGGACCTTTGCTATTATCCCAAACTTAAATTCCACATTGTAAGAAGAGAAACCTCATACCAAGCTCCATTTTGGAGCTGACAACAAGCCTAATAGGCCAAGACTAGAGTCTTGCACACACTAGCATAAGGTAAAGTTAGTCTAAGGCCCATGGCCTGTTACTGGCGATAGCAATACTGCTTTTGCAGTGCCACTGGGCAACAACTGTGGCACTAAGGAGTTCTGGTTTTCCCTCATCCACAAAAGAGCAGAGGGGAGTAATGTGTAAGTGTTGTACGTGCATATGCTAACCCTTCAACCCTCAGAATTCAAAATATAGAGGCATTTCTCTTGGAAAATGTAGAGAAAATATGTTCTGTGTGGAGGATGCAGAGTGGGCCTGTTTTATGGTACACCTTCTGGAAAAGGAAATTGGAGGTAGGTGATTTTTTTGGTTGCTGTTAGATTAGCGTCTCCTGGGTTTCATAATTCTACTGGCACCTTTGGATATTGCTGGTCAGTATACTGCAGTAAACTGGAGTTTAGGAAATCTTTCAGTTAAAAAAGCACATCTATGGACACTCATTTGCTAACTTAAACGGTGTGCTAGACCACTTTGGCTTTTTAAATATTACTGTTGCCAAAAGCTTTCTCTACCAGTGCTTTCCTGGCCTTGGAATTCTCATTGTAAGCCTAAGTAGTGAAAGGAGCTGAGGGTTTTCCCCTCAAAACGCTTTTCAGATGCCTTTTCCTTTCTCTTACCTTAAAGTTTGTTGCTCCTATGACACAGGAAACCTGAAAGAAACCAAGGAAATCTGAGAGAAATATTGTAACCTAATGGGATTGTGTCCAGCCAAAATTTGAGGAGTGTAAATTTGTCCAGGATTTCAAGTTGTCACTGTTTTTTTCAGTGCCAGTTGCCATATAGAATCATCATAGAATCATTAAGATTGGAAAAGACCTCTAAGATCATCGAGTCCAACCAGTCTCGAAATCCTGAACAGTATGCACTGCAAAGCTGTCAGGTGTTAGGCTTTCTGTGTGCGCCATTAAGTAGCTTTCAACCTGGTCCTGTCTAGATGGTTTGCATATTCTTAGATGTGAGACAAGTTACTTTCATCACATATGTTACAGTGTGGAGCTATAAATTTTTTGGTTTAAGAAATATTGGTCTGGAATTTGAGCAGCCTCAAAGGTTCCTACCCCTATTAACAATAACTGCAAATATTCGCCAAGAATATTAAAATAGTTCTTAAGCAGACAGGCATTTATAGTCAGCTTTACTGCTGGTGGCCAGAAGGATTTCACAACCGCTTTTCCATTTTTCCCCTGTTAAACACATTTCTTGAGTAATTATTTTTAATTCTGTGGTTGGTTGGGTTAAATTGTAACTCTGCTTTTTAAAAATAAATAAATCATTTTGTGGTTTCAGCAATCGTGGTACTTCCAAACTACTTGAGATTTAGATGTCTGTGTTTGATGTACTGAGATTCTGAATAAAATAACTAAGCCCAAGCGTGGCTGTGCTTCATC